GCAAGTCTTCCATAAGTATTCAATAATATCCCCAAAATGCTTGTTTAGTGACAAGGAAATGATTCTTTAAATACCATCAGCAAATTCTTAACAATGAATCTTTTGATCGTCGAATCATTTCTTGATTTCCCTCCGATATGTGGCTCACAAGTAAGGGATTGTGGGGGAATGACGGTCACATAAAGTGTTGGAGGCAGCAATGACGGTTTGCGATGGTGCATGAACTGCTCTAATGCGTATGGAGTCGCATGCATAATAAAGGTGCGAAATGAGACGAGCAAATTGCAGTGTTGGTCAACGACAGCTACTGTGCTTGACTCGTGCAATACTTCGTCACAGTTGTATTCTGGTGCTGGATGAAGCAACAGCTGCTATTGATAATGAAACAGATTCATTAATTCAATCGACTATTCGTCAGAAGTTTATTCACTCCACCGTTATCACGATTGCTCATCGCATCAATACAATCATTGATTACGATAAGTTGGTTTTTATTTAACATTTGCTATAACGAAGGATATGTTAGAGCGGAACAAAATACATAGTAAAAGAAAGCAAAAAAATGGTCTCTAATAATGATCATAATAAATTTCGTCGATCGTAATAAATGGTCGTTGATCCGAAGATCTGAATAAGAATTATGTACCTAATATGACCATTATTATCATAACCAAATGTTATTCGACAACAGTTTATCAACAAAAGAAGATTGTGAATAACAAACTCGTTCGTTCAGGATAATAGTAATGGATAACGGTCAAATAAAAGAATTTGATACTCCGCAGTCATTACTTCAAAATCGGTCTTCATTATTCTACGCGATGGCTCATCACGCGCATCTTGTGTGAAATGTTTCAGCAGATGAACTGTCACATAAAACGTGATCAGCGAACCTTACAGCTCGAAAATTCGACCGTCGATCGAACATTCGACCACTCTTCTGAGTTGACATAATATTTTTCTCGTATCCAGCTACTTTCTCGTATCCAGCTACTTTCTTGTATCCAGCTACTTGATGTAACATAAATAATATCCACGACAGCCACTTTCTAAATGATTTGGGCAAAAACAAGGTACGCGTACGAGGACATTTGTAGGATTGCATAGTGACTTGTACATCCTCATCAATATTTTTGTCGTTCTTCTTGTCTTCGTTAATGTTTTCAATAAGTTGAATGTGCGTCTATATCACATATATGTATATATCATACGTCTTCATATCGAATATATCATAAATCTACGTCCTCATACAGATGAATGACGAGAGAAATCGAAATTTCGATCTACTACGAATACGGTAATGATAGATGAAGTTAGCATCTGTCACCAAAATCTCGATCTCTGATTGCTTATAAGATTCTTGAGTGAAGTATCAATAAGGTGTCAAAGTGAATAGCCGCTTAGGACGAAGTTTTCGTTGAAAGAAAGGAATCAATTTTCGAATTTGAACGACTCATTCATTCGAATCCTCGTCGAAAATTCCATGATTCATTTTGATAATTCATTTTCCATACGAAATTCTTCTTCCATTTGAAGAAGAATCGTCAGGTGATGCTTCAATGAAAGATTTATTAAAATATCATGAGTGTGCAATTGCATCACATATTTTTACCAGCTGAATAAAACTCGCATCGATTTTTTGGTGTTCATGTGTTTTCAAGTGAGTGATCGAATTTGTTCCATCTCATTTTGATTTCATAATATAATGAAGCGATCTTATTGAATGTCAAGCCTTTGATATGAGTTTTATATTGATTACATGTACGCCGACTACTCTTTTTTAAGAAACTATTGAAACAATTTCGTGTTGTTTATTTCAAGAGCAGGCTGTGTCAGACTTTTTTCCAATATTCACGATCAGAATATCAATCCATGAAACCTAAAATCGCCGTTTGTTGTCAAAATTCGCCCAGCTATCGATTTTTCGCCTATCCTACCATTTGTGCATTGTTTAACGGGCGATTTCGGGTGGGTTGGGGAAGTAGTTGAAGTACGTCATAAACACTTAATTTTCACATGCCAACGATGGTAAAGAATATATCACCTTGAGTGCTTTATTGGCTTCTTTAAGACGTCCGTTTTCGTCAGTCATTCTTTCCTCCATCAATTGAAGCTCATCTTCGTGCAGTCGACGTTCATTTTGAATGTTGGCTTCCAGTTCAGTGATCTTACGTCAAATAATCAATTGCAATTATTATTTCTCGTTGAAGTCATTATTTCAAAAGTTACCTACCCGCAGAAGTTCGTCTCTTAAAATACATGCTCTGAGAATGGTACAGGCATTTTGATTCCGATCCGATGATTTCAATTACTTTTACAGTAATTGGTTGAATAAAAGAGAATTAACCTTCTCTAAAAGTTGTTTATTTTTTTCACGTAATTGATCTCGTTCAAGCACCGCAGTCTTTTGCTGTGTTTCATTTTCAATTGCCTTTCGAATGCCGTATGCAATGGCGCTTTGCAGAACGTGTTCGTACGAGAACAATGTCAAGCGCAATTCATCTCGTATTCTTAATAACATCAAGCCTCTTTCGGCACAGTTAACGGTCACTTGTCTTATCAATTCATCTGTAACGCTCAATCATTCAAACATTCACCTCGTTAATTGAATACCGATATTTTACTGTCATGACTTCATCACGATCCTTGCTATTGTGGTCATGTCACAACTAACTCGCCATCAACTCACAAAGTTCCGACAAAATACCTTGCACAATACCTCGCCATCAACTATTTGTGCCTTTGCCTTGCACAAATCACTAATAACATTGCATATCTGTTTGGTCAGTTATTGAGAAGAATTCACAAACCAAACAGTTGGTCATAAACATCTCTTCGAATAGGACAAATCCCAAATGGTTTTGCTTTTCGACTAAGTAGTTCTGCTTCGAAGCGTTCTTGTATTTCCAGCAAATCATGTCTTGTCACAGGTACCGTCGAAGTACGTTCACGCCAAATTTTACCCTCTGATTTGTACACCCTTAAAGAGCAGCGCCCAACTAGTATAATCTTTAATATCGATTGATATATCGTTTCATATATCTTTGATATATCGATTCCTTTGAAACATGAACAATTCGTTTAATTTCATAGTCTGAGAATTATTTAGATTCAATCTTTTGATGATCTTTTAAAGTTTTTAATTCGTTTCCGAAGTGCGTAATTTGTGAAAAGAAAATAATTGCCTCTGAATGGCAAAATCAATCGAAAAAATGTGTTACTGTCAGTAATAATTATGTACCTTGGCGGAAGTATACAATCGAGTATTTTCTGAAGTTGTTTTTCGGGATCAATTGGTGAAGATGTATTATCACTGGCAATGGTTTCGATATCGATCTGCTCGTTAGTCTCATCATCTCCAGCGACTTCTTCGCGCTGTGATCTCTTCAACATTTCCTCGTACAGATCCTCTTCTTCCATGTGTTTGTTCATTTTGGTGAACTAAAGTCGTCATTAATAATATCATAGATGCGATAAATTCGATAATAATATTAGTATAGGATTCAGAAGCGCAGTGAAAATGGTGCAAAAATTTGTACTGACATATTGCAAGTTTTGTTTGAGACAGATTAATTTTATCACACGTATTTGTTGATCAAGGTGGACGTTACTGAAGTGATGTATAAATACTTTAAGATCGTGCTTTAAGCATTTCACGCTACGCAAACAAGTCAATCTATTAAATCCAACTGAAACTGAGAGAGATACACTTGAAAAATTCCTATCATTTACGAATAGAATAAACTCTGAATAATTTTTTGCTGGTAAAACAGGAAAACACCCAAATGCCGTCAGTAATTGTCAGTAGCGCTCTTGTAGTAGAACGAACTGATCCATCCAGAGTAGATCGACGTCGATTCTCTGTTAGAGACGTCTTTAAGTATCGATTAGATTGTAAGGCATTAAAAATTTCACGCACCATTTCATGGAAAACCGCCATGAACTTAATGCCTCGCCAACCAAACGAAGATATCATTAATCGCTTATAAGATTGTTGCCGTTTATTTGCTTATATTTCATCGCTTTACATTTCATATCAATCGAGTTTTTCGCACTTAGAACAGGCTTAGCGAATCAACCAATAGTAAGTTGTTCTGCTCGTAAATGTTGTTCTTTTCATTCATCATTGCACAAGTGTGCTAAACACCACCCTGAAAAGTGTGATGATTGCACTCTAATAGAATGTACTCGGTACGACATATATTTCCCCTCTACAATACTGCATGGATCTAAATTTTTTTGTCGACAACACTCGATTAAAACAAGAAATGCAATTGCTTGGTATTTTTGTTTGACTGCATGCAGAAGATGACAGCAAAACAACAGTAGAAACGAAATTTTAT